CCTTCCAGTCACAAACCACTTCAAATCCCCCTCCCACTCCCTGAATGACATGTTCATGCTGGGCCTCCTCCAGTGACGCCACCCGGAAACTGGAGGAGCAGCACCTCATATTCCGCCTTGGGAGCCTACAACCCACTGGCCTCAACGTGGACTTTACTAGCTTCAAAATCTCCCCACCCCCGGCCTCATCCCATGACCAACCCTCCCTCTCATCCCCGCCTCCTTGACCTGACACAACCTGTCCATCTTCTCTCCCAACTATCCGCTCCTCCCACCTCACTGGCTAATCCGCACCACTGCATACCTGCACTCACCTATCACCATCCCACCTACCTTCCCCAGCCCCACCCCTCCTCTCTCAATTTATTTCAGAGCTCCCTTCCCCCACCCCCATTTCTGAAGAAGGGTCCTGACCCGAAACATCAGCTTTCCTGCTCCTCTGATGCTGCTTGGTCTGCTGTGTTCCTCCAGCTCCACACTGTGTTATCTCTGACTCCAGCATCAGCAGTTCTTACTGTCTCTGATAGAGTTAAAATATAATTTGTTTTACTTCCAAGATTAACTTCTCTACTGAATAGGCCTGAAAGGCTGGAATTGTTGTGTTGTTACATAATGATGGATCCTTGATGGCTGCTGCTTGCATTGCATCAGACAATAGTGTATAAGATCCTGTTTCAGGATATTAATGTTTGTCTGCTGAAATCAGCACAAAACAGTTACTGTGAACAGAGAAAGGTACATATGAAAACAACATGGATAATAATATTGCAGTATAGATCAAAGAGATCTTTCCAAAGAACATTCCTCACGTATTTTTGATTCATTGGCAATGTTCCAGAAGTAATATTATTAGCTGATCATGTCATAGAAGTTATTTTCAAGGTGTGATGGCATGAGGTAATTCTTTGAGATGTGCCAGGAGTTTAGTCTTCCCCACTGTGAGCACATTTACTTCTATGTATCTGAGTAATAGACTTGGAAACTTAAATATCCATAAAGTCTTTCTTCCTAATAGGTGCCTCTGTGCATAATTTCAGGTTGGTCCTTGTGTGCAGTTGTGCTGTTCATTGATGCATCAGTACATCACAACCAAAGCCTTGCAACAGTTTCAATCACTGCCTGAGATAACAAGGTGTCGAGCTGGATGAACACAGCAGGCCAAGCAGCATCAGAGGAGCAGGAAAGCTGATGTTTCATGTCTGGGCCCTTCTTCAGAAATGGGGGAGGGGAAGGGGATTCTGAAATCATTAGCGAGAGAGGGGGAGGCGGATGGAAGATGGATAAAAGAGCAGATAGGTGGAGAGGAGACAGACAGGTCAAAGAGGTGGGGATGGAGCCAGTAAAGGTGAGTGTAGGTAGGGACAGGTCAGTCCGGGGAGGACGGACAGCCTCCTTGACCTGTCTATCCTCCCTGGACTGACCTATTCCCACCCTATCCTCCCTGGACTGACCTATTCCCACCCTAACTCCCCACCTACACTCACCTTTACTGGCTCCATCCCCGCCTCTTTGACCTGTCTGTCTCCTCTCCACCTATCTGCTCCTTTATCCATCTTCCATCCGCCTCCCCGTCTCTCTCTATTTATTTCAGAATCCCCTTCCCCTCCCCCATTTCTGAAGAAGGGTCCAGACCCAAAACGTCAGCTTTCCTGCTCCTCTAATGCTGCTTAGCCTGCTGTGTTCATCCAGCTCTACACCTTGTTATCTCAGATTCTCCGGCATCGGCAGTTCCTACTATCTCTCAATCACTGCCTGTGTCTTTTAATGAATAAACAATGGCCTCAACAGATATGGGACATACACATGACCATTAAAATTAGGAACAGAAGTTGGCCATTTTGTCCTTCAAGCCTGCTCTGTCACTCTGTAAGATCGTAGCTGATCTGCTTTTGTTCCAAATTCCACATTCCCATCTACCCTAACAGCTTTTGATTCTCTTTGTCCTTGAATAACACAATTTAAAACCTAAACAAAATTATAGTGCAGCAAATCTCTCATTGTTTTCAGTGGGTGAGTTTCTGTACAAACATAGGCAATTTTCCAATTCCATACTTTCCAAATGGGTGGGGATCCATTCAGAGATCTGGTTCACTATGACTTTCACCTGCCCATCCTTAGCAATACTGACCTTGCTGAACTTTCCAAGACCAGCTTATTACATTATTGGGGTCAGGTTCGAGGCAGTCTGCTTGCCTGTGTCTGGGAACATGTCCATTTGAGGTGAGAGACATCACGGGTGGAATTTTCAAGCCTAGCCTGGAGCTTTTGGAAGGGTGGGAGGCAAATTTTTGTTCCCCTTTTGCAGATTAAACTTTTAGTATTAAATTCTCAGAGATTTTCAGGCATGCTGGCCTTTTCCCAATTGAATTTCCTTTGTATTCATTGGCATGTCATGAACACCTATTATCAACTAGCCCGCTCGAATTACATTACTGTGCACAGTTTTGTTAAGGAAGAACAGGAAACAGCTTTGTTAGACGCACAACTATATATACAAGACATGTTCCTGGTGGAGTAGACTTCCTTCTATGAGCTCCATTAAGTTTACAACTTTGATCCTTCAGATACAAACAGATTTCTTGTACAGATGCTTGTCTTGAATAAAGGATTAGCATGTGAAACAGATTCTCAAAGGGAACAGAAACAGGAGTGCAGGCTTCAAAACTTAAATGATTGTAGTGTTAGGGGTGAAGATTTACAGGTCCATTAGATTGCTCAATCCAGAGCAGTCACACTGCTTCATGTAAACTGGAGATGAACAGTCAAGCATGCCTAAACTAAAAATGGTGGTTGAACTCAAATGCAACAACTAATAAAAAGGGAATAGAATGTAAAACTGGGATCAGCAAATCAACTCGTGCAGACAGGCTGTAAAGGAAAGAAAGTGTATGGTTATGGGAAGCAGTTTAAAGTTCCTAGGGAATGGAGAAAGGAAAGTGGGATGAAGAGGGGAGTGTGAATATTATAAGGTTAACAGGGACAACAGGGAGGAGGATGGAGATGGATATAGCTTGGAGAGTAAGATGAACTCACTTGTACTGCTGGGGAGTAGTACTGCTGAAAAGAAACAGTTAGACTGAATAAGAAAAAGTGTATGGGTGATACTGCGCAATGGGATTTGAATGGGAATTGGCTCAGCTGGAAGGGAAGGCTTGGAAGGGAGAAAGTGAAAGGCCCCAGATTGGAAGGGGAGTGAAGATGAACAGAGGGGAAAGGAAAAGAAAAGTCAAGGTCATCTATAATAATGGGGTAGGTATTGGTGGAAGTGTTATCGATAGAGAGATGGTAAAGGAGGACAGATTTTAAAGTAAAGTTGATCACAATCTTTGCACTCTTCAATATTGTTCTCAAAAGGAAGAATAATGAGAATGTGTAGTGCAAAATGGAAGGGCCCAGATCTGCTTTCCTGTGCTTTAGTCAGAGTGAATTCACATTCGCAAAAAGCTCATTAGAAAAAAATCTGCAAAAACATAATGAGCAATCATTCCTCAGTTGCTTTGCATTGAAGGCAAACAGAACTTTGCTGTCATGGTGCACATGGCTTGCAAGTGCTTTACCGTGCATTGATTTGCCTTTGGTTGCTCTGCCTCCTCGGCCAGTGATATCAGGGTCAAGTACTTCTGTCTTGCCTTGCCCTTTAGCACAGGCACAAAGTCAAGATTCTTGTCATGGTTGTCAGCAGCCGCAATCAAGTCATAGGGGATAGCCTTTGCTCGGGGGTTCTGACAATAAGTCAAGGCCAGCCTCCAAAATCAATCCAGGACACAGTCAGTCAGTCACCTGGGGCCTTAGAGTCAGGATGCTCACCACCTAAGGGGTAAGGAGCAAATTTTGGGAAGCCCACCACCTGCCTTGATCTTTTCTGCCCAACTGGGGTCTATTTTCCTTATGACATGAGAGAGAAGCAGGTTTTAAGGGAGTTGAAAGTGGGTGGCACATCTATTAGTGTTGGTGCATGTGGGGAGCTTTCCTGAGCAAGTGAGTAGGCAGTGCAAAGTGCATACAGGGTTAGTGGTACTGGATGTTTGGGTTGGTGACAGCAAGTGGAGAAGATTTTGAAGGCAGTAGTGAGAGTGGTAGAGCAGGAGTCTTGGTGGGAGTGACTGTGAGGTATAACAGAGAAATAGGACATTGACCTTCTTTTTCCTGGACTGGGCATTCAACCAGACAGCTTAGATTGATCTAAACATGGACTAGGCTGACATTGTCTAGTGTTGTAGCCTCCTCTTCTAGTCCTGAGAGAGAAGGGGAAGTCACTTACTTGCAACACCCAATCCAGTAGGATCTCCAGGCCCCTGGCCCCAAAGTGAAATGACAATTTCTCCCTATTTGCCACTTTCAGGGCAAATCTGAGGAACCATGCAGGAAAACTATAGAATGACAGTGTTTTTTCAGATGCACAACAGCTTTTAAAAATGCCACACACATAAGGGATGCTAGTTTTTTTGGCAGATATTTGCTGAGTGCTGAGTTGTTTTGCAAATGTGTGGGGTAAATGGAGCAAGAGTTAGATGTGAGGACACTATAGGGCTAGGATAAATAGTTAATGAGCTGTGTTTTCTAAGATACATTTAAAAATCTTGCTTGGCCTCACAGCAGGAATCCCTCCAAAAAACTCCATTTAACTCAGATTTTGCTAAATAAACTACCTTTTGACACATGCATTTTATCATAAAGTGCTTATTCAACATCTTGAGCAAAGTAGCGACATATAAGTGGAAACTGACTAATGGGTTATGAAGGAACAGCCTTTGTATGACCAGGTGGCATGTGGGCAGATCTTCAACCACTTCAGGAGCAGCCTGAAAAGGGGCAAGGGCTTCATTGTCTATGTTACAAATTTGAAATGAGAACAGAATTCAGATTTTTGCTTTATGTTCACACAGAATGACTCCCATACCAAATAAATAGAATAGAATAGAAATTTATTATCACTGTACATTTACATAAAAAATACAGTGAAAAGTTTTATAAGGCACTCCACCACAGCACCTACATCAATGACAGAAGTTATACAAAATATTAAAAAATGTAAAACTGAGATAATGTTCATCACAGTTTAGTTAATGGCTCTTGGGCTTAGGGAAGGTTGATTTAGGAACGATGGAATACCCTGAAGACGCAGCCTGGATGAGACTGCCATGCTGGCCATTGGGTACTGGGCCGGAAGCCTCTGCTGAAGAAGACTGCCATGCTGGGCTGAGACTGCCACTCCTGGATGACACCGGCTGCTGGGCTGCTAGAATACCTGGACGATCTCCACATGATGATGAGATCTCCATGCCAGGACAAGACTGCCATGCTAAGACTAGACTGCCACTTCGGGAGACTGCCACAGGGAGACTGCCACTCCAGGCTGAGACTACCCAGATGACACCCCCAGATGACAGCAATGAATGACAGCCTAAAAGCTTCTCACAATGTTGTACTGATGCATCCTCAAATGCATCATGACCTCTCCTCATTGTCTGCAACGACATCATGAACAGTGATAATTTTTGAAAGACTGAATGAGAGTGTCTTCAGTTGATGGAAGCTGCTGACTGGATGTTCTCCTTACTTCAGATGATTTTGGTAGATACCCTCTGGCTTCCTAGAGCTGGGTGGCTCCTGCAAAGTACAGGTGTAACTTGCTCAGCCTGAGAAAATGGAGTGTTTGGGTTATTGACAAAGAGGAGGTAGTGCAGCAGTGCACCCCTGGAGCATCCCGAGATAATAATTCAGCCCCTCCAGCCTATCCTGCCATTTGATAGAAAAATAGCTGATCTTATTTCAGCCTCAACTCCACATTCCTGCCCACTCTCTGTAACCATTCAATCCATTGCTAATTAAAAGTCTGTCCATCTCCTCCTTAAATTTACTTGGTGTCTCAGTATCCACTATACTCTGGCGTAGTGAATTCCATAATTTCATGACCCTTTGACAGAAGGATCTCTCTTTTAAATCTGCTACCCCTTATCCTAAAAACTGTGACCACTCATTCTAGATGGCACCACATGAGGAAGCATTCTTTCTATGTCTACTTTGTCAATCTTTGTTGGCATCTTACATACCTCAATTAGAATTCCTTCATCTGCCAAATTCTGTCCCATTCACCTAAGCTACCTATATCCATTTGTAAGTTTCTTATTTCTTTATTGCCACTTACTTCTCCACTATTTTAGTGTCATCTGCAAATTTGGCTAGAGTATTTTTTATCCCCACATTCAAGTCACTAATATAGATTGTAAATCAGTTGGGACCTGGGATCAAACCCCATCATACCCAACCAGTTAAATTTGCCAACCAGAAAAAGAGCTATTTATCCCAACTCTCTGCTTTCTGTTGGTTAGCCAATCCTCTATGTAAGCTAATAAATTACTCTAACCCCATGTGAACTTACCTTGTGTATTAACCTTTTGTGCAACACCTTATCAAATGTCTTCTGAAAGTCCAGCTTTACTACATCTACGGGATCCCCATAATCTACATTGTTTGTTGCAACTTCAAAGAATTCTAGCAAATTATTCAAAAATGATTTATCCTTCATAAATCATGTTGAGTCTGATGGGTTTGACTTTCCAAATGTCCTGTTATTAGAGTCATAAAGTCATACAACACAGAAACAAACCCTTCAATCAAACTCATCCATGCCAGGCATCCTAAACTGAACTATCCCATTTGCCTGCATTTGGCCCATATCCCTCTAATCCTTCCTATTCATGTACCTGTCCAAATGTCATTTAAATGTTGTAATTTTACTGGCTTCTACCACTTCCTCTGGCAGCTCATTCCATACACGCACTACCCTCCATATGAAAACGTTGCCCTTCAGCTCTCTTTTAAATCTATCCCCTCTCATCTTAAACCTATGCCCTATAGTTTTGAATTCCCCTACCCTTGGAAAAAGACCTTGGCTTTTTGGCTTTTCAATGCTCATCATGATTTTATAAACTTCCATAAGGTGTCCCCTCAGCCTCTGACCTACAGGGAAAATAGCCCCAACATATTCAGCCTCTTCCTTTAGCTCAAATCCTCCAACCCAGACAACACCCTTGTAAATATTTTCTGTACCTTTTTTTAACAACATCCTTCCTATAGCAGGACAATCAATTTCCCAATGACACATGTTAAACTAACTGGTAGGTAGTTTCCTACTTTCTGCCTCCCTCCTTTTTTGAATAACAGTTTTATATTAGCATTTTTCCAATCCACTGGAGCCTTTCCCACATCCAGGGAATTTTGGAATACTATAACCAATGGATTCACTAACTTTGCTGCCACTTCCTTTAAGATCCTGTGATGTCCTGGGGACTTGTCTGCATCAATCCCAATAGTTTTCTCAGTACTTTTTCCCTAGTGATGATTATTGTACTAAAATCATCCCTTTCTATTACCTTTGCATTACCTGTTACTATTGGGATGGTATTAGTGTTCTTCACTGTGAAAACTGAAGAAAATATTGATTTAGTGTCTCTACTGTTTCTGTGCTTCCCACTATTAACTCCCCAATCTTACCCAATAAGGAAACAACATTCATTTTAGCTAAACTCTTCCCAAACATATACACATAGAAACTTTTGCTATCCATTTTTATGTTTTGGGCAGTTTTCTTTCATAATTTACCTTTGCTGTTTTAATGACTTTTTAAAGTAATTCTTTGTCGATCTTTAAAAGTTCCCCAATAGTCCAGCCTGCCATTCACCTTTGCAATATAATATGCCTTAGTTTTTGACTTTATATTATTTTTAACCTCCTTGCTTAGCAATGGATGTTTTATCTCCCAGTACAATTTTTCTTCCTTTCTAGAATATATTTTAGTTGGTAGCAATTTAGTATTTCCTACTGCTCGTCAACTAACATACTTTTTTGAAGAAGGGTCTAGGCCCAAAATGTCAGCTTTCCCGTTCCTCTGATGCTGCTTGGCCTGCTGTGTTCATCCAGCTCTACACCTTGTTATCTCAGATTCTCCGGCATCTGCAGTTCCTACTATCTCTGAAATACTTTTTTGTCTTCCTACCCAGTCCACTAGGGTCAGATCTGTCCTCATGGCTATGTAATTACCTTTGTTTAACTCTCGATCAGCAGTGTGGAACTCCAATGTCTTGGCCTTCAACTGAATTGGAAATTCTTGTATGCTATGATCACTCTTCCCTAGAAGATTCTTTACTATGAGATCATGAATTAATTCCAACTCATCACACAATATCAAATCCAGAATAGTTTGCTCCCTTGGTTGGTTTCCAACATATTTCCCCAAGAACCAATCACTAACACATTAAATTAACTCTTGCCTGAGGCTACTCGTGCCAATTTGATTAATCCAGTCCTTACGCATATTTTAATCATGCATGACTATTGATGTACTTTTCTTACAAACCCCATTATTTTCTGGTTTATACTGTGCCCCACTGTGGGACAACTGTTTGGGGAAGCTATAGAAAACTCCTACCAGAGTCTTCTTTCCCTTGCTATTTCATAATGCTACCCAGGATATTTCTACATCTTGATCTCCACTGCTGATATAATTTCTCACTACAGCACTGTTCTCTTCCTTTATTAACAAAACTACATCACCCCTTTTTCCTTTCTACCAATCCTTTAGAAAAGCGGCATGGTAGTTCAGTGCTTAGCATTGTTGCCTCACAGTGCCAGGGACACGGGTTTGATTCCAGCCTTGGGTAACTGTCTGTATGGAATTTGTGCACCCTTCCTGTGTCTATGTGGGTTTCCCCTGGGTGCTTCAGTTTTCTTCCGAAGATGTGCAGGCTAGGTGGATTAGCCATGGGAAATTTAGAGTTACAATAATAGGGTGGGTCTGCGTAGGATGCTTTTTGGACTGTCGGTGTGCACTCAATTTGCTGAATGTCCTCCTTCCACACTGTTGGGATTCTGTGAAACACTGAGTACCCTTGGATACTCAATTCCTGAACCTGGTCACACTGCAAATATGTCTTAGTAATCACCTCCAAACCATACCCTTTGTTTCTATTTGCACTGTTAACTCATTAATTTTATTTTGAGTCTTTCAAGCATTCAGATACAAAATCTTTTAAGTTTATTTGATTATCAAGTTTCTCTGCTGTTGTACAACAACAAATGCATTCTGACCACAACCTCATACAGCCTCAGCAGTACAACTCTGGTCTTGTATTCTAGCCTTCATGACATAAATGCTCACATTGCATTTTCCTTCCAACTGCCAGCCTCCAGGTTAACTTTAAGGGAATCTGAAGTAGGGCTTCCAAGTCCTTTTCTGCTACAGATTTCCAATTATTTGTGTCACAGGTAGTAATCCAGAGATTATTACCTTTTTGATTCTGCCTTTTTAATTTAGCCTCAACTCTGCTCTGTAGCCCAAATGGAATATCCTGAGCCAGGCATGAGGCAGGCAATAAAGTTCGGACTCTCAATCCTGGCCACACAAACAGTGTCTATTCCCCTGACTATACTATTCCTAATTACAACTCCATTTCTCTTTTCTACCTCCTTTTGAATGGCTCCCTGTACCATGTTGCTACGGTCAGTTTGCTCATCCTCCTTACAGCTCCCATTCTCGTCCACATAAGGAGCAAGTATCTCCAAACTGTTGAACTTGGACAAAGGCTGAGGGTCCTGCAGGACTATCTTCTGGATCGCCCATGCTTACACCTTTCTGTCCCTGACCATTATCAAATTTAAATTTGTTGATCTAAGGGGTGTGACTGTTTTCCTAAAACACAGCATCCAGGTAACTCTCCCTCTCCCTGATATTGGCACGGTATTTGAAGCTCAGACTCCAGCTAATCAACCCTGAACCTCAAGCAACCAACACTTACTACACATGTGGTCACTATGAACCACAATGGGGTCCACCAGCTCTCGCATCAGGCAAGTACAACACGTCACCTGGCCCCTGCATCTCTGTTTTGTTTACTCAGCTTTAAATTTGTTTTCTTTAAATTTCTTTTAGTATATAATCTGTAAAATATTCCTCCCATTTACCTTTAATCTGAAAGTTACTAACCGTAGATCATCAAATTAACGGCTTTTACCAACCAATGAACTTACAGTTTTCCTGTAATGTCAGTCTTTGTTTTATGCTGGGCTACAAAGCCTGAGCTTCACTTTATCCTGTCAAAAGCCCTGACAAACTATGAAGCAAAAAATAGCAAGAAAAAACCTCTTCCCCTCTGCACTGAATTCCACCGCTGCTCCAAAATCTCAGAAATACACACTCACTTCAAATGTGTCTCACTCTGGATGTGATCCCCTCTTCCTGATCATGAGAAGTTTGTGCATGATGGTCTGTGCAGTGGTGCCATAGATCCCCTGCATTGTTCCCAACTCATTTAGGGTCAAGTCCCAGTGCTACATCAGCTGAACTGGGCTTAGCAGGAACCTTTTCCCCAGCACTCCTCATAGTTGGAGACCTCAGCCACTTCTTCCTCTACTAGCTGTGGGTCTGTGCCAGTGTTATGCTCAGTTTGTGACTCCAATTCTACTCTAGATAAATTAAAGTGGTAAATTGCTCACTGAAACTTGTTGAAGTGAGCCTGGGGACTTTAACTCTCCTAAGAATCCTCATCCTTCTTTGCCTCTGTGTTTCTGGTCTGCAGAGAAAAACATAAAGATTAGTTATTTAGCAAAGCATCATCCTTAACCAAAGATTAATTCAGATGTAGCTTCTATCACCTGCTTGGAGGATATCTCACAAGAAGACTGGGGGTATCTAAATTCCCCTTCAGTGCAAGTTTGCTCCCCATTCTCTGCAGCAATCTTATCAGCTGGATCCTCAAAGATTGTGGGGACACTGAGATTAGGCATTCTCCCATCCACAGACCCCGGTCTGTAAGCGCTCATGCTAATTATGTATTTTCTTTGAGTGGATTAAGAGACATTACATGGGTACATGAACATTTTACTTACATTGAGAGATCCAGACGGTGATGTGACTCCCCAGAGCTGAATTGCATGTGTACATTAATTGAAGGAGGAACGTGGTACAGGGACACCAGTAAGCATGAGGGTTCTATATTAAAAGGTGCTGAGTCAGGGCGGTCAGAGAGGTACAGCTGATGGAGATTCAGACAGAATCTGTGGTATATGAGCCTCTGCTGAAAATTAGTGAGAGGTGCTCCAGTCTATGACACAATTTGTGCTGTTCTTACCCCATGCAAAGCTTGGCCCTGTGCTATCATTCCTGGGGAAGAGGTCATCCATGAGTTCAGGGATCTACTACAACATCACTACTGGTGAAGCGTTGCTAAAGTGAGGGCTTGCACTCTGCTTTCTCTCAGACATGTCCAGGGTTCAGTGAGGGTCACTATGCCATATCCACAGAAAGTTATTTGCTTACAATGCAGTATTGTCTGTGTGCCTTTTGAATATAGTGCCAACAAATTTGAGCCCAGCAGGTCCCATCAGAAGATAGAACCTCTTGTTTGCTAGTAGTAAAATATTACCCTTTAACCCATGAGCTGAAAAGAACAAAATTGTGCAAGAAAACCTGACCTGCTCCAAGTAGGTGTCTCTTCCACATTTTGGGCCAACTCCCACACTTTGGCTCAGAAATGCAAATCCCATCATATGATGCTGCAGAATATAAGGCTAGGGTTAGGTCACTTATCAGTACCTCCCCTCACTGTGTGAACATGACCAGGAGACACCTAAGCTTTTCATAATCCTTAATTCACATCCATACTTGCAAACACTCCACCAAAATCCTCACATAATCTACATGCCAAGATAAATTTTCTACATATGTGCTGCGTGATGCCCAGACTGGGTTCCACTAGGTCACTCAGCTCCTGACCTCATTATAGCCTTGGTTCAAACAAGGACAAAAGAGCTGAATTCCAAAGGTGAGTTTACATTATTACATTTGGAGTCCAATTTGTGGTGTCTGTCCTTATAGCTTGTAATCAGTGAATAACACAAGTTCTTCAAGTAGGAGTAGGTGCAGGAAAAAGATACCAAAAAGTGTTGTTACTGTTGTCACCCAAATCTTCTAAGTGTGTGGTTTCTATAGTGGCTTACACGATCTTGTGTGTGTGTGTGAGGATAGCCAAATCTTCTTCAGTAAATAAGTGCAATTCTGCAACTATTTACTGGTTATGAGAATAGGCTGTACATTATACAAACACTGCAGGAAGAACCTAGCATTAGGTCTGTGTCCCACAGATCCTACTTGATTCTCCAATCAAGTCTCCATGATATCATCATAGTGGGCGGTGCTTATTGTACTTAATCAAGTATTAACCCTTTCTGACCTCTCTTGACCCATATACAGCAAAAGGGAGGGGGATGAGAACCGTACAGTGAAATGAGGAGACATTTTAAAATGAGAGGCAGGAAGAGCTGATGGCAGAATTCAAGGGTGTAAGATGGCAGAGTAATAAGGGAAGCTGATAAAAGGGATGTTAAAAAAAGTATAAATTGGGTCTGTACGCAGTGAAAGTACCTTTATGAATTGGAATGGCTGGGTTAGATGTGTGATAGTAAATGTTAAAACTATTTAAAGGTTTACTTGGTATTCTGACACTATAATTCATGCTTTTCCTCCTTATGTATATTGCAACGAGTCTTTCTGCACTTGAAAAGCTCTATAAAAATATATATCATGTTCTTTGCATTCAAATTTATGCATTTAAAAATAGTCTATGATTTGTATCTGTGCCAAAAAAAATCTGATGTTGTAAGTCAGCAGCAGGTAATAATTATTTGCATTATTTCTAATTCACCTATTTTATCTTTAAACATTAGTCCCCTGTGTTTTGCTCAATTAATATTACCAACTGTGGTGCAAACTTGTGACTTGTAATAACTACTATACCGTGCATTTATAAATCCAATACTTCCAACCTTTAATGCTGAATCACAAAATTCTTAAAATTATACAAAATCCACAAAAATGTTAACAAAATCAAAATTTTCTAGAAGAAACAGCTCTGGGAATTTTTTTTTTGCCTCACTTCTCTCTTTGGAAGCTTCAAAACACTTTGCAAAAGTATTGTACATTTGACGACTTCTATTTTCATCCTACAGAGCACAGCTGCATGTAAGTCTTGGTTGTTCATGTCCCAGTGTAGTTCAACTTAATTATTCTTTTTTATTCATTATATGTGAAGTTATTGAGATCCAGTTTTCAAGCAAAACAAAATGAACTAGGAAAGGTGATTTCAAAGCACTAATAAAAACCCTGAATTTCAATATCAACACAAAGGAACTTATTCAGTTGCCTTGAAGCAGTGGCCTTGGTTGGAAGTCACAGGAGTAAAATAGAATTTAATAGCGTGAAAACCATAGCAGTTATTTTTTCTATCTTCTGTATGGATGCATATTTTTCTTATTTTTGTCAAAAGCTGTTGATTCTAAATGTCTGCCATTTTAGGTAGTCACAGATATGAGGTTAAGTAACTTTTGAGGGAAGATTGACACATGAGTCACCTGGACCTGATTTCCTCCTATTCATTTTCTAAAGAGCACCCTTGATTTCTGGGAACCAGTTGTCTGCATTCGTTTTGAATAATGATTGGTATGTAACGTAGTTAACCCACACAAATGTGCAGTGCAAAAATACATAGATCACAGATATCAAAATGCGTTAGAGTGGTCAACATATGACACAATAACTATTATTAGGGAAAAAGTACTAGATAAACCACTGGAGCAAAATGCCAACATCCACTGAATCTGACAGCTTGCATCCTAAGATATTAAAGAAAGTAGCTTCAAAGGGAGTAGATGGACTGGTGGTAGTTTTCCAAGGACCCTTAGATTCTGGAAATGTCCCAGATGACTAGAAGACTGCTAGTGTAATACACATATTTGAAAAGGGAGGGAGATATAAAATAGGTAACTATTAACCAGTTAACGTAACATCTGTCATTGGGAAATTAAAGTCTAGTACAAAGAATGTGTTAGAAAACATAGCATTTAAAAATACATATTGTAACAAACACATTCAGCATAGCTTAATGGGGGGAAGTCATGCCTGACAAATTTATTAGAATTCTTTGAGGAGGTAGCAAGTAGGATAGATAAAAGGGAACCAGTGAATATTATATATTTGAACTTCCAAAAATCATTCAATGTGGTACTGCACATTAGGCCACTAAATAAGAGGCAATGGTGTTGGGAGTAGTTTTAGCATGGATGGAGGATGGCTAACTAATAGAAGGTATAAGTTGGAATAATTTAGACTATTTCAGGATGGAAAACTGTAACTAGTAGAGTACCACAGAGATCAGTGCTTGGGCTACACTTATTTACAATATAAATCACTACAATTTAGAAGAATGAGAAATGATCTTATTGAAACAGATTTTTTTTTTGTGGGCTTGAAAGGATAAATGCAACAAGGTTGTGTCCCCTTGTGGTAGAGTCAGGGACCAGAGAGCATAACCTCAGAGAAAATGGTCACCTATTTAAGACAGAGATGAGGAGGGATTTCTACTTTCAGAGTGTAGTGAATCTGTGAAATTCTTTACTGTAGTCATTTGTAGAGGTTGAGCCATTAAGTATACTCAGGGTTACAATGGACAGACTTTTAATCAGTAAAGGAATCAAGGATTATAGGGAAAAGACAGGAAAGTGAAGTGGAAGATTATCAGATCAGCCATGATCTCACTGAACGGTGAAGGAGATGCATTGGACATCCTAAGTCTTACAGTCTTATGGTTACAGTTGTGCAATCATTCCTGATTGATAAGGCATCCCCGCAGAGCCATGTGTATGCAGTCAACAGTGCTCAGGAACAGGAAGTTCACAATCCTGCCAATCCCATATGCCCTTATATCCTGGTTTTTCCACCTCAGGGGAAGAGGGTGAAATCTCCTTTTTTCCTGTGCAGCTTATGTTATTTCCTGGATACTTTAGTGTGTGGCAAACTGTGACATATTTACTGATGCCACATGCATCCATTTGGAAGGAACCAGTTTGTAAGATTCTGATAATACTGTTAATTTTAGGGATACTGTATTGATTGAAGTAACATTTTATGATTTTGTCTTAGATTTCTTTTTAAACAATTTAGTTTGAATTTTTGCTAGTGGGACAATTAACAGTTAAGACAGCTGCTTGCAAGACTGTGTTTAAATAATCTAAGGATGCCAAAGAATCTAGGTTAAGCAATTGCATCTGTTTTTATTAGGCTAAGTACAATTCAATGTGCATCAGCTTTAAAGAAATAAGTGAAATGTTTGAACTTCGCAAATTGAAATGAGTCCGACACCTATCTTTAAATAAGAATGATGTATTTCGAAAAAGTTTTATTTTGCTGAGTGATTCAGTCAATTTACAAAAATTGTAGAACAAAACGTAGATAAAAAGGTCATTTTGATATTCTGCTAGAAACAGTTTTTCTTAATTGTTTCAGTATTCCTGAGGATGTTAGGTTAAAGGGTTTATTATGGTTGGCATTATTAGTAAGAGGATGTAACATTGTTTATACAACTTCTCTGTATCTAAACGGATGTGTCAACTACTCAAACAATGAAACATTGATTTCTGAGACCTAGGGAATAAGACATGAACATTTGCTTAGCCTACATATGTCTAGGTACAGAGGTAGGGTGACACCTGAAACTCTCAACCTAAGCCTTGAAAAGAATCAATTCAACCTATTTCTTAATTAGGACTATGAATCCCTCACAATTAGGAACTAGAGTTTGAAACACAAAGTGTTTTGTGGCACAGTTTTACCTTACCTTCTATGAAGTAATACATATAAGTCGCAATTCAAAGTAACATCACTTCAGAGACAGGAGAAGAAATGTATCATCTGTGCTGGCAACATCCAAGGCATCTGGACCTTTAAGAATAAAAAAACCTCTTCACTGCTTGTTTGCTAAATATTTCTAAAATCTTTCTCAATAAATTCTACTTGATTCATGAATACTTGTTATTCATATCTTGATAGGTCATACAGAACTGTGGATACTATCATTATAAATTAAGAGTTTTTAAGTAAAAGGGGGTTTTAATATTCAAAACTTCGTAAATTTACAGGTTGCAGAGAGGAAAAGGGCGACAGTGACCTTCACAGCCACTGAGAGAGATGTCATCACCTGACTTCAGGCTTTACCTCTTAATCAAGAAAGTAACAAAACTTTAATACCATCATCTTTTGAAGTGCTACCTCCTGAAACACAGGGCATTTCTGGGTAGGGAGAGCTCACCTTCTCCTGCTTCCTCATGAAGATTTTTCTCTCTACCTCCTCTTCTGCAAATCCTGCCCATGCTACAGTGTAATTTGTATTTAAACTATCACTCTAGACTTATGTAATGAAATGTTATTTTCTATCTTCCTGTAGTGGGCTAAAACCTCACAGGCTATGTTTGCTGATACCCACCAGCATGCAAAGTAGCGGTGAAACTTCTGAAATAAATTAAAATTGAAACAAAAATGAAACAAACATTTCAGTGAAGAGAATAAAAAGCATGTTAAATCAAGTTTTTATTTTAATTTTTAAAAAAATCAGCTTTATACTGATTAAATGTATGCACATTTCAAGAAAAATTGGAGGTGAGCTTTCACAGTCAGTATTTATCATTGGATCTTTGATGTCAGCAGAGATTCCAACTCTCAAATGACTGACTACAAGTCTTTCAACCAATATGCCTCCGCATGAGTAATTCAAAAGCACATCAACTCCAAATTATTGAAACACCCTTCTTGAATATTCCCAAAACAGAGCCAACCTGCTTCAAAATGCTGGATTTCAGGAGTGTATAAGGAGGGTTTCTTGAACATTCATTGTCCAATTTTGGTACTTTTTAGAGCATTGTTCCATGAGTTCGATCTCACCCTTTCAAATCTCTAGGTGCACACAGGGGATGCACCTGCACGCACGATTCCAGTCACATGATGCTATGCAACCAGCTCAGAAGCAACCAGCAGCATCTCCCCACTCCAGAAGAAGTATGTCTGAAACATTTGATCACTTTTTGAACCCATCCAAAAAAATTATCGATTCATTCAGCACTGAAGGAGACCATTCATCCCATTGTCCTTATCTTATTTTCTTTCAAAAAAAAACGCAATTAATCCTATAAAAGCAAATAACTGTGAATACTGGATTTCTGAAATAAAAACAGAAAGTGTTGAATAAAGTCAGCAGATGTGGCAGCATTTCTAGAGAAAGAAAGATTTAACATTTCGAGTCCAAAGACTCCTCTTCAGAATTGTTCCATAGAAGAGTCATATTTAACTTGAAATGTAAACTCTGTGTCTCTCTACAGACCTGCTGAGTTTCTTCAGAATTTTCTGTTTTCATCAAGTTAGTTTTACTTCCCCGCCTTTACAGAATCATGTGTTGCTATACATGCTAATTGCACCTCAATATATCTCTCTTCTTGATAATTTGACCTTATACTGGCATATGGAAGATTCTTCACATAATTTTGCAGAATTATGTAGAAAGCAGTCAATGATTCAATCAACATGCTGTATTTACAAATGTTCAGTGCAGTTTCTTCCTTTCTTTTGATCAGCTACTGACATCCCCACCCATATCACACTGACAAAAGCTTTAAGATTTGCAAAAAAAACCAAATCCACAGCTTTTTCACAATGCAAACAAGTGCATATCAAATTTAGAAGATTCAGGAAAGAAATCACAGAAAGAAGACTAAAAAATCAAGATTTTCACATTCTCAGTAACACATACAGGGTAATTTTCCAAGCAAAGAGTGTCAATGCAGGATTGAACATGTACAGATTGCAGAATTGCCATTTAGAATCTGATTGCAGACTCCTAAACCCACAGATCCAGTTTTCATGTTGGAAACCTTGCTTCACAAAATTACCACTGTAGTTTAGTTTAAAAAAAAGTCAAGAACAAGCCAAATTTTTAACAGCTTTCAGTTTCTGTATTACTCACTGATGATAAAGAGCACATGCTGTGTTGTTTTTCTCAAGCCACATACAGATTCAGAAGCATTATTTACATGACACAATTGCTCAGCCATCTGGAACCTTTTAGCAATGGACCCTTGCCACCACCACAAGCCTTCTGGGCACTGCTAACTGATGCATGATTGGGTTAAATTAAGAACTGTTTTTCACTCTGTGCTTGTTTATGAGCAATGAAAATAAGCAGCCAGGACTTTCTGGCTCACCATCATAGATATTTTGCTGTAGTCTAATTATTAGATGCTTGAGCTGGAGCACTAATTTACAAGATTGTCTTTTAATTCATTCAATTACAGGAATAGTCGGGGATTTATATTGTGACTGGATAATTACCTGACAATGATCTAGTGAAGGGAGCAAAATTAAAAAGAAAACTATTCTTGAAGCAAATTTCTGGGCATGAATGAAAGTCTATTTAAATAAGCAAAAGTGATTAGTATATAATAATTAAATGGCTAATTTTCTAGTTATAAACCTAACAAAAACTGCATACTAACCATCCTTAGTTACAGGAAAGAACTCTGCTAAGCTGAACCTGAACCAAATCCAGTCTAACAATTGAATCAATTCTTTTAGAAAAGCATGTGATAATTCTTTTCATTTTCCAGTGTGTTGTTTTCAAATACTTGGAGCTAGCTGCAATTTAGATGCAAAACTGCTTTCACTGTTATCCTGAAATAAATGACCCAGAAAAGAAAGTTCACACCCTTTTTGCTGTCTGGGACCTGGAGGTGCTGGTTTACATGGTGGTGGAAAGAAGGGCTGTCTTTCTTCCTGTTGACAGTCAAAAGAGGCCATGCTACCATACTCAGTCGGCCTGATTTGAGATTGCAGCGCAGGTCAGTGCAGTGTCCCAGGTGAATAGCAATGCACAGCAGAAATAAAGTTAATGGTCTTCTGTTCTCCAGAGGTTAAATGCCACTATTTTCTCTCTGCTAGCTCACATTGATTCCAACACTGCACACACATCTCACATAAGCTCATGGACTACAACATTATGGCATATATGATCAATGGTTCTTGATCCACGTTATCCTCTAAAACTACTAATCCTTCTTGCCCTCTGCACTTTGTACTCATTCACTGGGGACACCGCACCATTCCTGCCTCTACTTTATCTTTAATGGCTCTTCCATCCACTTCTATCTTACCAAGTTGTCCCTTTTGTCTCATTGCGGGAAAGAAATATCTCATGGTCATGCTGTCTCCCGCATGCCTGCTTCCATGGATTAGCTTAGACACCTAGGTCCAACAAAATCAGTTTTGGCTGGATATGTACAAGGACATACTTGCCATCATTTTAGCCATAGAACCTCAGCATCAGTGGCAAAATAAAATGAGGATGAGAAACTCAACCACATTCCTGGTGCCCCTTCCTCTCAGAGACACAGGGTGGTACCAGAAGGCACCTGCAGGGAGGAGGTGGCACACACTGGACACCAAGAGGCTCCTCTCAGAACACCAGAGGTGCCCACCTCTCCAACTTGCCTGTCTGCAATGACAAGGCAAGCAGAAGGAGAGAGTAAGGTTGCATCTGGGCAGTACACTCTCAGCCCCCAGGGTCATTCAGTGAAGTCTTTCAGGCCAACAAGGCCAAGTGCAGAGAAAGGTCACTGAAACCTATCTGTAGAAGTTGGGACAGCACTTAAGAAGTAGAGAGAGAGAAGGAAAAGTGCCATTCTTACTGGTCTAGCCTGCACGTGACTCCAGACTCACAGCAATTTGCTTGACTGTAAACTGCCCTCTGGGCAATAATTGCTGGCCTAGCCAGTTTTTAAAATATTATCTACAATAGAAGACAGAAACTGTGGATATCCTGGGCCATCATCATCGACTGGAAATCTGCTGGAGTAGGACTTGTGCTCAGAAGGAATGTGTGAGGATCCCATCCCACTGGCCATCAAAGTTACATCACCTCGGAATTGTTATGCCAATGGCTCTTTCTAAAGAACAACTTGAGATCAGTGTGGCATCTCCCAGTCCACAACCTACAAACACATTGGGACATCACTGATGTCATTTCTCACATTTTACAAATTTATATTCTTCCTCTGTGACGAGGAGAGTCAAGCAGCTTGGGCAGTTGGATTCTCCAACTTTGCTAGCCTTCCCCACGTAACAGTACTATAGATTCTACACAGATTGTTTCAAGAGTGCCCTGTTACAAACCTGCAGAAGTTGTCAATTTCCGCTCCATCAATCTCCAGCGTATCTGTGATCATTGATGCTAGATTTTGGAGGCATGTGCTTGACATTTGGGAAATGCCATGATGCGTACATACTAGAGAACTCAGAGGTTCCTGTCACCTGGCCACTTGGGGAGGCAAGGGCTAACCTTGCAAATATGCCTCATGACACCTTTATGAAACCTTTGGACTGACATAGAGGCCTGTTACAGTGCTCTGCAATATAGACCAGAAAGCATTTGCTGCGCCATTAATGCAATTGATACTTGGAATGAGTTACTAATTTGGATAGGCTGGAAAGGCTGTGCTTGTTTTCACTGGAGTTTAGAGGATTGGGGATTGGGATATGTGGTGGGGCTGGGGTGACTTGATTGAAGTGTATAAGATCCTGAATAGTCTTTACAAGCTGGCCATGGGAGGGATGTTTCAACTTGTGGGTCAGTCCTGAACTAGGTGGTACAGTTTCAAAATCAGTGGTCATCTTTCAGGACACTAATGACAATAATTTATTTCTCTCAGAAAACTGTACAATTCGGAATCCTCTTTCTCAGAAGCCAGTGGAAGTACGTCGTTGAATATTTTTAAGACCAAGTGGACAGATTGTTGTTAATCAGGTGAATCAAGGATTATCAAGAGTAAATAAGAACACTAACAGATTAGTCACAAACTTATTGTATGGTGAAGCAGGCTGAAGGGACTGAAAGGTCCAAT